AAAACCCCAAAACCCCAAAACCCCATAGGATGAGAATAGAAAGAGTTTTAAATAATATAAAATTAAAGTTTCATATCCAAATTAAGATGGAGAAATACGTTGCTCTTTCAGTAAAAGAGCTCTGGAATAAATACTAATTTGTGTCAAATATCGATTCTGGATCATTCGGTTCAATTTAAAAAGTATAAAATACTGTCGACAAATAATTCTACGCTATGAAGGTCTAAAATCTAAAAAATTTAATGACGAGTATTCCAAATAACTATAGTAACGAAATGTTGCGGATTATTCGTGAGATTAACACATTCAAACTAATTCATCCAAATATTACTAAATTCTATGAATCCTACTTCACCTTTGAAGATCAATTCGTAATAGTAACTGAACTAGCAGAGTCAAACATCTGCATCTACAGAGAAAACACAGAACTGACAAATGCTTAGATTTCTAATATAATGATCCAGATTGTAAAAGGTACCATACACCTTCATAACCAAAACATTATGCACAGAGATCTAAGTCCAGATAACATCTTAGTTTTTGAAAATGGGAAGAAGTTTAAAATTTGCGACTTTGGATTATCTCAGATGAAGCCAAATACTTATTCTTTTGTTGGAAAACCGTTTTTTAAAGCTCCAGAAATAGATCTTAACGAGGATTTCAGCTATAGTAGCTAAGTTGATATCTGGTCGCTCGGAATGATACTCTACTACTTATGCACTAAGAAATATAAATATCAAGGCAAGATAATATCCGAATTAAAGAAGCAAGATCAGACAGTTCTTATTAAACTTGAAGGTTAATAGTAGATATTCGAACGGCTTCTTAACAAAATGCTTTAACTAGATCCTCATTAGAGATTAGATTCACTCTAAGTACTATTTGAACTTTGCGATTTAGCCAATGAATCATTAGACAAGCATTTAGAAATAGAGGAAGAAAAGAAAGGTAACCAAGGTCACCAAGGTCGCCAAAATCGCTAAAATTCTCCTAATTATAATAAGAAAGATGCGGTAGCTTTGATTAAATCAACTAATGCTGTTGTCAATGAAATTATCGCAAAAATAGGAGAGTTCAATTAGTGAGCTATTGATAAGATTCCCTCCAATCAAAACAGAATCTTCATGCCATAAGTTTAATGTACATATGGTATTTATCAAGGTGAATATGATAATGTAGCAAAATAGAGAGATGGATAAGGTTGATTTGTTTTAAGTGATGGATCAGTTTATGATGGATTGTGGAAGAATGATAAGAAGGATGGATATGGAAGATTTGTATATGTTGAAGGGAATTACTGCATTGCTGAGTACAAAGATGGTTTAAGGAACGGATATGGAAAATATTATTCTAAAGATGGATGGATTTATGAGGGGTAATATATAAATGATTAGAAAGAAGGATTAGGATTGATGAAATATAAAAGTGGTGATTAATACTATGGATATTGGGTGAATGGTATGAGATAAGGAGTAGGAGTATACTCATTTAAAAACGGAAATATTGAACTTGGATAGTTGATGAAAGATTAATCTCATGGTATAGCTTTATATATTCCAAAGAAAGGAGGATAAATAGAAATAAGGAAATATGAGAATGGAAGGTTAATAGAGACAATGACTACA